ACCTGCATCGGTAAGATCGCGCTCGTTCCTTTATTTCACTTTTATGTATGCTCAGAAAAAACTTCATCAATTCTGCTTCAAATTTGGTGGATCTTTGACGTTTTTATGCCCTTACTGTATTTGATTATGTTGTTGTTCGATTTTCACGTGCTGAATAGGTTTCGCGTGTTCTATTTTGATCATTAATGGTTTATTTGTAATGTTAACCCCTGAAGTGAGTTGGGAAGTTCTTTTGGATTTATTTCAGTTGCATTTACATCTGGTTGACAGAACTCAGAACTCTCCCTCCCCCAAATTTCAGCCATATTCTTACTTAATATTGAATCTGCGCCTGATTACGACCTGAGTTCTGTGACTTCCTGTAGTAGTATAAGGGTTCTCTCGGTTATTGGATTCGGGCGAAACCGAAGATCGGGTAAAATGTGAATCCGACTCGTGACCCAGTGATGGGAAAGTACAAGAGATTGAGAGGAGCCACTGAATGTGCCCTTTTTCTTGTTGTAGGTCCTATATAAGTAACAAATCTCTTTTGCAGTTTCCTGTAGGCTTGAGGAGAGATAGGCAAATCTTTGCAGGTCCCTTCTTAAGACTACTTTCAAATAACTTTGTATATTTCTATTTCTTACTTATATTGTTTACTCGTGTAAATTTTTTTWAAAAATTGTTTGATTTTTTGCACGTTTAACCTTAAGAGTTGCAGCTTGAGTTTAGTTGTGGCTTTTTGTATGGTCTTCCACCCTTTTGCTTGCAAGCAGTTATTATTTATCATTCACTATGGATGAAGTTAATCCAGTTTGCTCAAATATTGTATATCATTTGACCTCAAATTAATGGYACATATGATATCTATACCTATTTTTGTGTTGTCAGGTAGGATCCTTGTTGATTTAGTCGTTTTTTTCCCCTTTTTTCTTTTTCATTTCAGGTTCAGCTCTTAGATAAAGTATAATTGGCTCATTGAAGTTAATCACTAATATCCCTTGGTAAAATGCGACTACAGCTACTATTGCAGGCGGTTGTTTCTGGCTGGTAGTTGCTTGTTGTTAGAATGTGGAATTTTGCTTCCAATTGCGTGGCTGGATATGCTGGACTAAGGAGCAACCCCCCGAAACTGTCTCATTCTACGTTAGAGTGCTCGGATGATGAGGCATCTTCAGATGGGAGGGAGGAGGTGCTGGAGTGTCCAATATGCTGGGAATCCTTTAACATTGTTGAGAACGTTCCCCATGTTTTGTGGTGTGGCCATACCCTCTGTAAGAATTGTATCTTGGGGTTGCAGTGGGCCGTTGTGAAATTCCCAACATTACCGGTTCAGCTTCCGCTTTTTATATCTTGCCCATGGTGCAACCTCATATCCTTCCGCCTAGTTTATAAAGGAAACCTTAGATTCCCTTGCAAGAATTACTTCCTTCTTTGGATGGTTGAGAACATGAACGTTGATAGAGTGAAATCTCATTCTGCTTTCTCTGGGGATCAACTAGTCTTTCCGGTGAGCGGAAATTCATCCCAGGGTAGCAATCAAGTCTGTAACAGTAACTTTAGGAGGGGACACCATGTTTGTCATTCGGATCCACGAGGACCAAACAATGCCAATAGCCATGTCCATAGCTTCAATCTGCAAAGTCTCCATTCTTCTCTCCGCAAATTGCTCATTTTCTTTGTTCACTTGACAGCCAAGTTCCCATTGGTGATCATCTTCCTCCTAATYGTCTTATACGCCGTCCCTGCCAGTGCAGCCATTTTGGCTTTGTACGTAATAGCCACGGTCCTTTTCGCTCTTCCATCGTTCCTCATACTATATTTCGCATACCCAAGTCTGGATTGGCTGATGAGGGAGATCATCACATAAAGTGTGCAAAAATCTCTAAACAAGCCAGCCACCCATCATCAGGAAAGGTTGAGTTTACATAATTTTCATCATATATTTGGCTTGTTGACACATTAGCTTCCCAATTTGTCGAYGTTTCAGATGGTCATACGGATTCAACATCACTCATTGAAGTTCCTCCAGGTAAAATAGTTTTAGTTTTGGTAGTGTCCCAAAATTTCTTTTGTTTCCTTAAAAAAGCTATTTGAGTAATGAAGTAGAAGGATTTGCTTATTTCTGGTGTCATCTTGTTGCTCTTTTGTGCCATATTCACTGCTATTGTGCATTAGATTTGGAAATTAGATGCTGCTGTATGGACAAAGCTTTAAGAAGCTCAAGTCCTTGCTTGTTGTACAGAGGATTGGACTAATTTATATGCCAACTATGTTTACCAAAAAATATTTATTGTTCCCCACCTCCCAAAAAAAATTCCCCCGTTTGAGTTTAGTTTTAATTTGGTCTGTAATAGTTTTAAAAGTTCGGTAGAAAGTACCAATTCATTGCTACGTGAATAGAAAACATGCATTCATGGTTTGAGTTTAGTTTTAATTTGGTCTGTTTAACCAAATAGAAAATACCAATTCAACCAAATGACCAAATWGAAAATACCAATTCAACCAAATTGTAACGTAGCTTAAATTATGAGGACCAAGTAGAAAAAGATTCAAATTAATAGGTACGAAATTGAAACTAAAGGCTAAATTTGTAATTTAAGAAAATAAAATTCTAATTGTTTTTCCATGAATCTATGAATGGCAGAGGGTAGAACAAACCCTCCCAAAATCTTTTATAATTACAATCTTCTTTTGCTTATACAAGATAATTTTTTTTAGTAATCTATTTTATTTAGGGGAGGAGGAGTCTGAATGAAATGATTGTTACAATTATATTATATGTTTTGTAAATAATTTTCTGATCATCAGTCAACTATGTTGTTATTATTTTTTTTCTTTTTTTTTGAGAAAAAATAGTCCACTACGTTATTGTGGGAGTTTTTTATTTTTATTTTTTTGTGCTTTGTAAAAAGTAAGATAGTTTAGAGAGAGCATATAATGGTTAATTTGAAAGAGTTTTGTAATATTAATATAAATTTTTGTAAAGTTTTTTTTTTATACAACATGTGGGGGGTTCGAACTCATGACTTTTTGATCAGAGANGTATATCTGTGACTTTGATTTTTATATTATTGTTTCCTTTTTCTGGTTGAGTCTAGCACAAATAGGAATTAATTGGTTCTGTAATTTGTGGAAAAAAAAAGGGAAATATTGTGCTCTGCAGCGTGGAAAATATTGTGATCTGCAGAAAAAAAAAAGGGAAAATATTGATTCGGTAGTTATATATATATATTTAGGAATAAATTAATTTAGTCTTTATGGTGTTAGCACGTCATTTGGGAAAAAAAAGGAAAAATGGTGATTAGGTTTTGTTTCAAGGCTCACACCATCGATTTAAGAATGATAAAATAAAATTTTTATTTAAGTTGGAATAAATTGAATGATAAAATAAAATATTTATTTAGGTTGGAATTCGAATGATAAAATAAAATTTTTATTTAAGTTGGAATAAATTGAATGATAAAATAAAATATTTATTTAGGTTGGAATAAATTGGAAACCGGAACAAGAAACTTATTTAGTTGTTTCCAAATGTCTATGTAATTATGAGATTGTTTATAAAAAAAAATAGGAAATAAGAAATATAAATAATTTGTGAAAGTTTAGATTTTTTAATAAAATCCCAACATCCACGCTCAAACTTCGTGGTTATCCCATCTCGAACTTCTTCCAACCAAATTTCAGTTATCCCTTCCTCCACAATCAACTTCATCACTGCATCTTCATGGTTATCTCATCTCGAACTTCTTCCAACCACTGAGTTGCCCTCTCATTTGGCTCGAAATTTATCCTAACTAGTAAGTTTATGGATTACCAATTTAATGAGATTGATACATATGTTAACTTTTTAAATAAGACATTGCACATAAACAATACTTGAAAGAAAAAAAAAACTAATTCAATGAAACTTATATTTTTCTGAAAGAAATATTTTAGAGAATACAAAAGAAAAAGACAAGAATAGTCAACCATTTTTGTTTTTCAAATAAAAAGTAAGAAAATGTTGATTAGGTACATATATTTTTATTTTTGGATTCTAGAAGGAAAAAAAGAAGAAGAAATGGTGATGAAGCTAGGGTTTGTCCTTTTTGTTGGTTGGGGATTGTTTGCCAATGCAAGATATTAGATATGAGACTGGTAAACAAAAGAGGGGAAATATTCAAGCCAAGAAATAGAAGGTACAAAATGAATCTCTTACCTTCCAAAACTTAACCATATTTTATAAATTTTACTATATATTTTATATTTTAGTCCTTAATACTTTTGTATATATATGTATTTATACGTGTGTAGACATATAAATGGGCTTTGTATGTAAACCTCAATATAAATGAATGATCTTGTCTTATTCATTTCTCTGTCAACAGTCTACCTTGTAATTCTAAGTTTAATAGCTTGGTATCTGGCATACGGTTTACTTTATATAGTATACGGATCTATATAGCTCCTGGTTCTTAAGAATGTTCCTTCAAGTATGAAGACCAAACTAGGAGATGAAACCAATTACAACTATGTAACAACCTTTCGTAATGGCTGTAACAAAATAGTCTTTCCTTTGACTCCTATAAATATGTAGCCACTCCACTCACGTACGTAGGTATGCGATTCCGTCTAGAACTAGGTGACTACTTATATAGCTTGGGTTTTAAATTGACTTGAACATCAAGGTGTTTGTTCATTGCTAGCAAGTCTTCTTGCATATCTCGATCAAGAGAAGCTTACTACAAATCTCGACTCAGTCATAATCTAGCATCAACGATATATATATATATATATTAATTTGGCCATATTATTTGAAAAGTTTAAATTTAATTCTCTGTATTTTAACTTTTTTTTTATTTATACTCATTCTATCCCTGAAATGTTAAAATTGGCCAATGACTTTCTTTAGAAAGCCAAAATTTATATTAAGTTTTTAAAATTTTAGAGGGAGAATTAGAAACTTTCCTCTTTTAGGTGGCTTTTTCTCTCTCCTCCTCCTTCTCTACATTTTTCCTCCATCCTTTGACAGAGAAAGTATACTTGAAAAATGTTAAAATATAAGGGATTAAATTTAAACTTTCAAAACGATAGGGGGATAAAATGAGAAAATACTATAATATTAGAAACTAAAACATATATTTTTCCTTTCAAAAATTTATAAATTTATTTTCCTCAACTTTGATTATGATTCATATAATTGGAAATGTTAACATTTATGAATAAATGATGATATAACGTGCTTATTAAAATAAATATTGATTAATTTGACATAAATAACAAACAATTAGTAGAAGTAGACGTTTCACTTTTACTTTGTCCAATTATTTACTTTTTTTAATATAACAAATGAAGATAAGGATTTCGAACTCATCCCTCTTGATCATAGATATGTACCAATTACTATTGAACTAAACTCATATGGATTCCAATCAATATTTACTCTGTTTTGTGACATTGTACCAAATCAATCCACATTTATATAATAGTCCATTTAATGCATTATTTAGTTAGCATAGGGGCTACGTATAATAATAAATAAGAATTCAAAGTCGTGGACGTCATCGAAACTTTGTACTTTAATTTTTCTTTTTTAATTTTTTAATTTTTTTTTAACTGGTAGGTAGTGGAGATCGTCTCTTGGACACTTTTTTTTTAATTATTATTTTATATTATTATTATGTTTTTTTTTCCGTTTATCTCCAACTGATATTTTTTTAAGGCAATTTTGGAGATTTTCAATTTGGGGAGGAGGTGATTTGCGATTTGGGGTGGAGAAAATCTCCCAATCATAGTTGTTTTCAATTTTGTTTGGAGATTTGCGATTTGCATATTTTCAGGAAATCCCCAATTTGGAAGTCGTCTTTTTTAAAAAATAAAAAATAATGGTAGAATGTGGGTTAAAAAAAAAATTACACGGTTAAAATACGATATATACGGACACCTAGAGATCTCTGATGACTAAAATTAATATAGTTCAACTGTAATTGACATCTACTCTTTGTTTGAGTGTGAAAGTTCAAAATCTTTAAATCCTTAATTTGTTGTACTAAAAAAATCTATAAAAACCTTGTAATTTTAAAATATTTATAGTTTTAACTTTGTTCCTTTAATTCCTATGCTCTGAACATGTCTTAATTTGGTTTCTATACTTTTAAAAAATGACTATTTTAGTTTATATTTATGAAATTTAAACAAAAAATTTATACATCAGAAAAATCTTTAAAATACAAATTCATGACTACGTTTAACAAATTTTAGTGATTCAAGCATTATGCTAAAATTTTAATAAATGAAATCAAAATGAAAATTAAAAAATCAAAATAATCACTTTTAAAAAACTAAAATTTTCAAAAATACAAAATTGAAATGAAAAAAGAAAGTATAGAGACTTAGAAGTGAATCAAAGCTAGATACCAAAATAATATTAAAATGAAAAAAACTTCAAAGCAAATTAAATTAACTAAGAAATGAACTGGAAGATGAAGTTACTTGAAAGGGATTGCTCTGGTTTGGATGTCACGTGGGTCAACCAAAATAATAAAAATAATAAAAAAAAAAGAGAGAAAAAAAAACTTTTGGTTGAATCCAATTCCAAACTCAGCCTCATTCTCCTTCCTCCGTCCCAACTGCAACTTGTTTCAACGATTCGTGGGACCTCACACGAAGAATTTTAGCAAAAAAATGAGAGAGAAATTCAGTTGCTTCTTGCACGATCTCTAAAACACACACAAAATCAATCGAAAGAAACCCAAAAAAAAAATCCAAAGGGAAAATTAAGAGTGGTTCCTTCTTCTTCATTTTCCTCTGTTTCAATCGAATACAGCGTCGTATCGTGTGCGTTTCCTGTTTCTTCGCTTTCAGGTCAAGCAGACCGAGGCTTAGCTTCGCGGCGGAGGATCAGAACAAGGTATTTATTAATCTATTTCTTCTCTTTTCTGCGCCTATTTTCTATTTGGGGTTCCTTAGAAATTTCAGAAAGGGGATGTTTCTTGTGGGTTTTGGTTGGAAGAAAACTTCTGTTGATATTGGATTATTTGAACGGCTGCTTTGATTCTATGGATTGTTATTGGGATTAGTGAGTTGATGTTGAATTGAAACAATAACATCATTGGTTTTGTTTGTTGTATTTGGGGGATTGATTTGATTTCTTTTGAAGTTTCTGACGATTGGGAAATCAATTGAGGCATATGGCTTGTTTTCGTTGATTATTCTTAATCAAATCCTTTTGGTTTGCCTCCTTTAGAACTTAGAACTCTGCTTTCTTTCTGCCAAAACCAGGATCATCTCTTTAGTTTTTTCTTCATTAATTTGTTTCTTCGAGGAAAAACTGTTTAGAATCTTCACTTCATTTTACTTGTAATGATTTTTTTTTGTCCTTTTTGTTTAACTTTTACTCTGTGAAAGGTGCTTTTAATTATTAAAACCGAACTTTAAAGCACTTTTAGGAAAGAAGCACTTGGATTAGTACTTTTCCTAAAAGTGCTGAAGTTAAACTTTCACATCAAAATACTTTTCTCTAAATTTTTAATTATGACGTTCGTTTGTATCATTTCCTTAAAATTTGCATCTAATGATGGCTTTTTGAGTATTTTGTTTGTTTTGGAAGTCCTTGGTCTCATCTGTTACCATTATGATACCATGCTCTAAATCTCCTTCAGCATCTCATCTCCAAAATTCCTTTTGAATGATTTGTTTTTGGGTTTGAATATGACAATTAACAGAGAGCCTATCATGTAAAACATACCATGTCTAGGTGTTTGGAAAGCCAATATTTTATGCCCGTTTGATAACAATTTTGTCTATAGTTGTTTATTTATAACAATTGTGGGTGCTTTATTCTTCGGTAGTTTTTCACCTTTCTTATAAACACGTTTGAATTCTTAGCAATATTTAAAAATAGAAACAAGTTTTTTAGAACTACTTTTACATTATGAAAACATTTTTAAAAAGTAGATAACAAAATAAATAAACATGCTTGGAATTAGTGTTTTTTAGCTTAATTTTAAAAAACAGAAACAAAAAACAAAATGGCGGGGCTCCAATCTACAATAACCTAAAATTCCCTTGCATTTTACGTCAATGCTAACATTTATGAAACCCCATGTTTGAGATTGATCTAAGGATGATAATTCTGTATTTTTTCGCTTGGTTCTCCCTCTTTGTGATTATAATGGAAGATTTCTCGTACCAAGTTCACTATGTAAAACGATCATAGATGCGATCTTTATCTAATTAGTTCTTTTCAAATTCTCTAGCAATTTTATGCATCATTTGGATAGCAAAGTACCTATCCGTTCATAATTTATTAGGTGGCTTGAGCACCAACAAACTTGCTTGTAAGTTTCTGGAACTTATCGATTTTTTCCATTTGATATTCAGGTTGTTGAGCTCTCAAATTGTTCTATTCAATGGTTGATGGGAGTATGAATTTGTCAATGGCCACTAACAGAACTGATGGTGGTAATCTGAGAAGATTTTCGATGGGAAAAGCAAGCTTATCGGGTATCGATGATCAAATTAGTTCTCGTAGATCCTCTACTGGTTCTTGTCATGATTTTTGCAAGTATGGACATAAACATTCATTAGAAACGAAGGCCAGAGTTCCCTTACTGAAAAGAGCAATGAAAAAGTCACTCAATGGCCAAAATTCAGACCTGGTTGTAGCCATGCCCAAGAAAGGGAAGCCGCCCCCTGTTCCTGTGACCAAGTTGAAGACTTCGCCTGATTTGGGGACATGTATTACTGGTGGCATCGACGTGGTAAAACGGGTGGTGCCTGTAAATTCTCCGGCCAGGCGAAGTCCAGTAGAGATTGTAGATATGAATGAAAGTAAGAAACATACAGTGCCAGTAAATTCTCCTACCAGGCGTAATTCAATAGGGATTGAAATTATGAATGAAAATAAGGAAAGGGTGGCACCTGTAACTTCCCCGAGTAGGCGAAGTCTGGTAGAGATTGAAGTTATGAATGAAAGTAAGGAACAAGTAGTGCCTGTAAATTCTTCTAGCAGGCAAAGTCCAGCAGAAATTGAAGTTATGAACGAAAGTAAGAAATGTGTAGTGCCAGTAAATTCTTCTACAAGGCAAAGCTCATTAGGGACTGAAGTTATGAATGAAAATAAGGAAAGAGTGGCAGCTGTAACTTCTCCGAGCAGGCGAAGTTCAGTAGGGGTTGAGGTTATGAATGAAAGTAAGGAACGAGTAGTACCCGTAAATTCTTCTAGCAGGCAAAGTCCAGTAGAGATTGAAGTTATGAACGAAGGTAAGAAGCGTGTAGTGCCAGTAAATTTTTCTACAAGGCGAAGTTCATTAGGGCCTGAAGTTATGAATGAAAATAAGGAAAGAGTGGCAGCTGCAACTTCTCCGAGTAGGCGAAATTCAGTAAAGATTGAAGCTATGAATGAAAGTAAGGGACGAGTAGTGCCTATAAATTCTTCTAGCAGGCAATGTCCAGTAGATATTGAAGTTGTGAATGAAAGTAAGAAACGTGTAGTGCCAGTAAATTCTTCTACCAGGCGAATTTCATTAGGGATTGAAGTTATGAAGGAAAATAAGGAAAGAGTGGCAGCTGTAACTTCTCCGAGTAGGCGAAGTCCGGTAAAGATTGAAGTTATGAATGAAAGTAAGGAACGAGTAGTGCCTATAAATTCTTCTAGCAGGCAATGTCCAGTAGATATTGAAGTTGTGAACGAAAGTAAGAAACGTGTAGTGCCAGTAAATTCTTCTACCAGGCGAAGTTCATTAGTGATTGAAGCTATGAATGAAAATAAGGAAAGAGTGGCAGCTCTAGCATCTTCGAGTAGGCAAAGTCCGGTAGAGATTGAAGTTATAAATGAAAGTAAGGAACAAGTAGTGCCCGTGACTTCTTCTAGCATGCAAAGTCCAGCAGAGACTGAAGTTATGAATGAAAGTAAGGAACTGGTAGTGCCCGTAAATTCTCCTAGTAGGCAAAATCCATCAAAGATTGAAGTTACGAAGGAACGTAAGAAACCGCTGGTCAAGGCAAAAACTTCGCCCAAAACCCATAAACCCAAAATTCATCTAACCACAAAGCAGGTAGTTTTCTCGCCTAGAAAATCTGCCAACTCTCCAAAACAAGCCTTGATCAATAATGGAGAAGTGAGAGTTTCCAAGAGGCTCAACAGTTTGTTGAAGCCGAAAACTTTGAAAGAAAAATCAATGATCTCTTCTGGCTCTTTTGGGAATATTGCAGTCCACAGACACGACAGTTCTGAGACAGGTGAAGGATCAAGGACCCCTAAACGAATTGGAACAAGAATGGCGGGAAATCAAGTAGTGAAGTTGGATCCAAAATCTATTGATGCTGTTGGAGATTCACCTGCGATAAAGAACAAGAACACGAGAGTTGTTTCTCGTGTTATAACTCAGAACAAAATGAGAAGAGCTCCGACCAAGGAAGTGCAGATTGTTGAACCACAGGAGAAAACCTTGTATGTCATCAATACGGAAACTAAGAACACCAATGTTATGGAATCTGACCACAATGAAAAGCATGGTTTGAATCTGCGTCCAAAGCAGCCATCATCACCATACCAGTCATCATCCTTAGCAAATTGCTCATCTCTTTCACCCCCGAAGGAAGACTGCAGTGGAACTAAATCTACAAGAAGCAAAGCAAATGCCACGTCTTCGGGACTGAACAAACAGGGTGGCATAAAAATAGGCCGGTCCCCTAGAATGCTTCAAACCAAAGGAAAGGATTCTTCATCTTTGAGCGTAAGTTTCAAGAAGGGAAAGGCAGTCGATCTTCATTCCGAAAATCCTAGTCCAACGAGGCTCAAATTTATAAGAGGAAGATCGTTCGGGGACAACGAAAAGAGCAAGGATGGACAGAGAACAAGCTTCAAGAAGGTAGTAAACAAGGGGATTTCCAAGGATTCCATACCATCATCAGAGAAAGTAGTTTTAAGACATCAAAATGTGCAGGGGAAGAAAGATACCCAGGTTTTGTTTAATAAAGTCATAGCGGAAACTGCGGGAAAACTCGTTCGAAACCAGAAGGGTAAGGTGAAGGCCTTGGTAGGAGCATTTGAGAAAGTGATCTCCCTCCAAGACAAGAAACCTTCTGTAAGAACCACTGCTTGAACTGAAAACTTCGGTTTTTTTTTTCCTTATAACACAGTTAATTTTGTACAGTGAATGAAGAATGAATCAGAGCATGAACAAGAGAAATAAAGTTCCAGAGCTGATGGAATTACAGGACTGAGTCAATTATACTTCCTCCAAAACAAAAACAAAAACAAACAAAAGAGGAAAAAGAAAAAAACTTGTGTTGCTTATACATTTTTTTTTTTTTTGGGTCTTGTTCCTCTACGGAATCTCATACCTGATATAGTTGGTTGGTCTTTTGAGGATTAAAAGATGTTCAACTTTGATTTAGTGGTTGTATATATTTTCTTCTTGGCAATGCAAGAAATGACTGAAAAATGTGTGTATTTTTGTTTTTTGTTTTTTGTTTTTTTTTTATTTATGCACCCTCATATTCCAAATATACCACTAATTTTTTTTGTTTTTTTTTTAATTATGCTTTTTAGGGAAAAGAAAAATCTAATGTAAAATACACTTTTGGTCCCAGAAGTTTGGTAGCTGTTTATTTGGTCATAAGAGATACTTTTGATCTCGAGGTTTGTAAAATTGTTCTAAATGATTTCTAAAATACTTTGACCGTTAGTTAACTAACGTTTGAGATGATTTGTTTGATTTGACAAATTTAACTGTTGGTCACTTCCTCGCTACTACTTACTCCCCAACCACCACCTCGTCGGCTGGTCGCTTACCGTTCGAGGTGGAGGTGTGGAACAGGAAATCTCAGATCCAGAGAGTTTGAGAAACTTTATCTTCTCCTTTGATGAAAGACTTCCTCTTTCCAATCAAATGGAGGGCGCACGGTGGGCAGGGAGGTGGAGAGGTAGAGAGAAACTCGTAGCAAGGAGGGGACCACGGCGAAGTTCATCGGAGAATAAATGAGAAAGAGAGAAAGAAGAAAGAAGATGAAAGAGTTTATTAGTTTAGTCGAAATTATTGCTAAGGTAATCAATCAGATAAAGTGCTTTAAAAAGGACCCAAAAACTATTTTGAAAACTAAGAACTCATTAAGAGAGCTTCTAGAATTTGTCTAACCTAAGAGCTTCCATTTTCTAGAAAGAAAAAGTCTAATATGATGGAGAAGAGTTTGTCAATTTAGTCAAAATAACTGTCTGATATACAATCAAATACGTGCCTACAATACAAGATCGTATTTAAGATAGCAGGCAAGTCATTTTTGGCTATCAAACAACACTCTTAACTTCATACTAAACTTCTCTTCCTTTCATGTTCATGTCAATTTCATCAATTTATCATGATGATTTAAGAAAAAAAGAGAAAATCTAACACGAGAAGGTAAGTCAGATATGACATAACATCGACATGCAAGTCATCTTTGGCTTACCAAACAAGACTTAACCTTCCATGTATAGATTTCTCTGCTTCTCTTCACTCATCTTCACTCAAATAGTTGCACAATAGAAGAAGGTTTAACACTATAATATATAGTTGCATGGCCAATGTGCCTTGTTGTTGACATTAAAAGAACATATTCTTTTTGGGTTGCATGGTTGGCTTTATATTGCTAGAATTATTTTGTTTCTTCAAAATTATTCTTTTTGTAAGTCAACCATGACAAAGGTCAGCTTCAATCAAATTCTATTTTTTAGTCAAATATATATTCTAAGTGCTAGCTCTCTCTTGCCAAATTGCAACTTATCCTCCCCGAAGTTGTAATGTTGTGGTAAGCTTTGAAATGTTTGCATTTGGGGAATATCTTCAAGCATGGCAATGGATAGTTATTTTCCTAGTTAAAGAAAATAAAAAGAAAAAAGTTTATTTATGGTCTCAATTAGATACKTCCAATTGTAATTAAATAGGTCTAACAAGTTTAGCTTTTTTATTAGTGGACAGCTAAATGATTCATAACAAGGAAGAATTCCAGAGGAAATATTCTCTCGAAATTACATAGAATCACTGTTATTACTTCTTGTAGGTTATTTAAAGTCTCAACTTTTAATGTGTGATTGTGAAAAAATACAACAATTTTGTAATTGCGCACCACTCACACAAAAAAGATAGACTATACTGGTAAAAGTCTTTTGTAGCAACGCATATGTAAGTCGTGACTTTTTAGGTCCATATGCCCTTCCATCTTTTAACACTAACACGTCCTATTATGCTTGAGGTAAAACTATATCTTAGAGAACTTGACTGTTTTTTAATAGCTTTGGAACTTCTTTTTTCTATCTGTTACTGACTTGTAACTAGTTTATGGTTTCATCAATTTATTCTTGACGTGTTGAAGATGTAATTTTTTATGAATATTCAAAATCATTAAATCTTTATGTGCTTTATCGATATCCTTTATTTTTCCTTCAATGTTTAATGATATGCCTAGTACATTATTACAAATATTTTTCTTAATATGCATAACATTAGGTTTGTATCGAAATATTTGACCAATATAGTAATTCAAAAAATATGTTTTTTCTTCATCCAATTTAATTCACCGTGAAGTCAATTATTTATTTTCCATAGAAGATATCTATAGTTTATCCAAGTGGTAGAAAATGTATAGCTACTCATTGGTGAATGACATCTAATTTCGAAAAATATTTGTTGCAACTCTATGTTTTCTATATATATATATATATATATATATATATATATTTTTAATATTGTATTGTTTGCTTTTGGCTAAGAATAAGTTATAGGTAAGTATCGATACCCCATAAATTTCCACAATTGTATGATATTGTCAATTTTGAACATAAGTTGTCAGGATTTTGCTTTTGGTTTCACTGTCTCATCCCTAAATATCTTCATGTTCTAAAGAAAGGTAGAAGATTGTGCTATTAGGCCACAAATGAAAGCATTAGACCCTCTCTCACTAATGCTTTCATGGCCACGTCATTTGATATGGACGTGACCCCACCTCTTATGTTTTAGTCACAATGGTCATGGTTGTATCACACCTTCCCTAGCCACCAATCTATCACTAAAACACTTTGATCCTCACAAAGTGTTCTCCCAAATCTATAAGAAGTTTGGACATCTTGCCCTCAACCGCTACAATCGCCATCCTCAGTTAGTTGTCATGGTAGCAACGTACCTCAAATACCCAATGGCTCACTAAAAGTGGTTGTAATGCCCCTATGAACTTGAACCTTGCCAACCTCACCATCTTCAACGACTATAACGGAGAAGGTTCATGCACGTTAACCACTCCTTCCAAATCTTTTTCTCTCAATAATAATGTGACCACACAATTTACTCTTTGTACAACACTTCAGTTTTGTGTTGTTAATGACTCTTACTTTCTCTTCACTACTGATTCCTTTTCCATTCTTGACAAAGAGTCACGTTTAATTCTCTTCGAGGGATCATGGTAGAACACTCTCTATCACATTTTCACCTCTCTGCCTATACGAAAAGATGGGGTCTATATGCACATCTAGAAGTCAAGATATCCCACCTATTGTATGATTCTCATGTGGCCTTGAATTTACATAGAAAAATTATCTCACTTCTAATCCATTATTAGTAAGAGGGAAATCATGTAATCTCCTTGTATTTCCTAAACTACCCTAGGAGGTGTATTTCCAAGACTATTCTCACTGAGTTGGTCCCACTCAAGTTATTAAAAACTCATTTCACACTTCAAAAACAGACGAGCAAGAACCAAAATGAGAAATATGAAAAAAGAAAATAACAATTTAGTTTAAATTTTAATATATACCAATTTAGTCATTTAATTTAAAATTTGATAAGATGACAACAAATCAGTCATATTTCCATCAAAAATTTGAGTTATATTTCATTTTTCACTGGTTATTTACAAAATAATAATAATAAATTTTTTTTTATATGTCTCTGACAAGGGAGGTTATGAGTTGAAATTTCCTAATTTAATTAAAAATAAAAATTGGAAAAAGAAAAAAAGGGATCATTTCCTAAAATCGCAAAAGCTGAATCGTCGTGACTTGGTTTGATCTTGGCCACGGCGATATTGCTCAGCACAGAGACATTTGAACTAATGGGTAAAAATCATTGCTCTCTTTTTTCAACCAAAAAAATTTGATCTTGTTCGCATTTCGAAGTGATTCCTTTTCGATTCGTATTGTCGCAGAGGAAGGTAGTGAAGTAGGATCAAAAGAAATGGCGATGGCGATGGCGATGGCGATGGAAGGAGTAGCTTCAATCGCACTTTTGCCGTGCGGCTCAGTCTCCGGCCACTTCATTCAACTTCCTCACTCCATCTGCTACGGCCTCCATGGCACTGGTAACTCTTTTGCAGCCATTTCAAATGTTTACTTATGAAAGAACATTTCAAATGTTCTTGGGTGGTGGGTTAGGGATTTAGATTTYTGAAATACGCTGTAACGGATTGAAAAATCAATTGTACACGAGTGGGGACGGACTCGCTTTGGAAATTAAAGGTTGAATCTATCGGGTTTTACTGATCTTGGTACTAGAAGACTTGTTTTAGCTTAATTACTGGATACCACATGGAGTATGGAAGAACTCGATAGTTTGGTTATGTCTCTTACCATTTTGAAACTGATTTTGGTGATAAACAACATGTTCTAAGATTTCTGCGGTGGCATGGTACCTCATTTCCATGAATTTTTTAGCCTCAAGAGTCGTGAGTCTGTCAATATTGTATATCCTTTTCCTAGAATGCTTGGTTTTTTTCCTGTTTTTTTGATAATTTTGGTTTGAAATATTTGTCTTTCTCTCCTCTTTCTGGCTCCAAGAATTGGAATGTGAAAGAGAATGCAGCAGGGGTGAGGATTACCGCTTGATCAAGCTCACTATTACAAACTACAATGTAGGATATTTTTGCCCTCTTTACCTTCTTTCCTCTCTGCTGCTTGAATTTCATTCTCAGTCAGCAACTTTTAGTTGTTTGTTTGTAATCGTTCTGATCCTTTTACATCTCGATTGGTTACTGAATGTCACAGAATAAGAAAGAACAAACAGTCGTTGTTGAACGTAGAGGCCATGACGCTGCACGGTTTCACAGCATTGAGCACGCTCATGGGTAAGTCCCAACAGATGCAAGAACTCTCTTCTCTCCTACTTTTTCATCATATCCCATTAATTTTCTTTTAGCTTCTAGCTTTAGCAATTTGCTTAGGTATCTCAAACCCTGTTTACCTTGTATATCGATGTTTTGAATGTTTGAGCTGCTTTTCTAGTTGAACAATTGAATTATCATAGATGCTAGATTCTGCTTTCTCAACCTGATATAAATTTCGACTTGTCACGGGCCTGAATCCATTGCCTTCTTGTTTTAACTGGTTGTATATTTGTAGATCAGTAAGTTTATCACATGTTTGTAGACAGTTGGGAAGAGGATGTAGTAAGCCTGGTTAAAAAGAAGCATGGAAAGAACCAGGTTGCGATATCGTTCGAGTGTCAAACATTGAAGTCGGAGCAAGCAGCCGAAGAACATATCAGACAGTTTATTCCCAAATTAGCTGGCCAGGATGCTGTGGGTATGTGTAGCCAAATTCTTTTGGTACTAACTTTGTTATGAAGCCTGTTTCTATGATTTCATGAAATAATCAAAGTAAAAAGGATCCTCGGCAATCTGGTGAATGGCTGCTCTTGCCTCTTAGTGTTGCATACACTTCACTTTCACTGATAACTTATTCAACTATAGTTCATGAAAGATAGATAGTTTTGGAAGCAAAAACAGAGTCGTTTTCGAAACAGTCTTTCGAGCGAGCCCGTACCCTCACCATCTTGTCACATTATGTTGGAGTATTCACAAGGAAATATTGGGAATGTTATTAGGATATCCGTAGTGGCATAATTGCAATTACATAGAAAGTTTGTTGGTAGAGAGTGGTTATAAGTAGATTAGACCATTTGCAAGAGTGAAATAGCCCTCTCGAAACACTGTAATTAGTGCATGATCTTTAAAATATCATAATATCGATTTCATCTTATTTTCTAGTAATCAGGATCCAAACACATTATTTGCATACCTTGCCATTTTTCTGGCTGAAGCTTTGGATTGGCAGTTAACATCGGACCGATGAGCATCAAAGGATTGGACTTTGAAGCAGAGGAGCAGCCGGGAGAGTGATGCAACCATCTAAATGTAGCAACAGTTCAATGCTTCAAAACAAATATGTTCACTCTCATGTGTAAATTTCAATTTTGAATCCATTGGCATAGATTTTTGGCAGATTATGAACTTTATTTCAAGCCGTACCCTGTAAGTTAAGGCCCCTCAATTGAGATTGGCCACTTAATTTTTCTTTTTGTCAAAGAGAATCTCCATTTTTTTTCTCATTCCATTTTCATTTGTCAATGTCAATTTTAAAGAGAGGGAGACGGAGAGCTAAAGAAAGTTAGAAGAGGAAAACTCGAATCGGTTCGGTTTAATTCGAGGGACTTTGGACTCCTAAACAATGGGTAAAGTTAGTTCCACAAATCACCAAAGAGGAAAGATCTTGTCCTTGTATTGTAAATCAACCAAAATAGAAGCCTCTTTTATTAGAAATCGATCAATCGTTAATAATTTGTAGTAGAGATTCCAAGTAATGTAATTTAACTTTGATTTCTACACAGACCACAGACCAAATGTAGTCAAGCGTGAGGCAAACTCCGAAATATGTCTTCTAATCACTTCAAAGTGCAAGGTAACAAAAAACTTCAAAGTGAAAGGTAACAAAAACGCTACGGGCGTTCAAAAAACCTGACAATCCGACGAACCTAGATTTGGGTTGGGTTAGATGAAGCCTCGGGTTGGGTTAGGTTGAGTTGTGATTTTCCCAACCCGATCAAGCTGGGTTGGGTCTCGGGCTCAACCTGTAAAAAATCGGGTTAACCCAACCCGAAATTATGCATATATGTGTATTTTTTTAATTATATATATATCTTTAATGTTAACCGTCCATTTAGTTTTAATCCTAACTCTTCATTTAAGGTTTTCATATTATCTTTTTCATTTTGTATCTTAAACGCATCCGTCCATTTAATTTTGATCCTAACTCCCCGTCACGATAATTAAAAATTAAAAATAAAAAAAACACACACACAACCCAACAAACCAATTCACACCTAAAATAACGTTATTATTTAGGTTTTGGAAAAAAAACTTAAAACAACTACAACAAAAACAAGAAACCTAAAGCCTGTTTGGTGTTCTAGAAACCAAAAAAATGTTTCCAAAACGACCTTTGCTTTGTTGTTTCCAAAATTTATAAATAAATTTTTAAGAAACCGAAACAGTTTTTTTTTTATAATAAACAGAAACACTCATATATAATATCGCGCCCTCGGTGCACCTCGAAAACACTCATATATATTATTAAAAAAAAGATAAATAAATAAATAAATAAGAACAAACTTTGACTAGTACCTGCAAAAAAAAGCAAAAGCAGTCAACATGATCACCAGACTTTGATCTCTGCCTTGCAATGCTTCCACTTGAGGAGAGCCATTATATAAAGCAATTAATCTCACCATCTAACAAACACAAAGCTATATAATCATTGGCATTGCAGTCATCATCACCATATCATGTATAGAGATCAGAGGTTAATTTACATGGAAAATTACATGGTTCACACACAACCTTTCAAGTAAAAAGGATGCTCTTTTTTGTTTTGACAAAAATCTGGTCAGCTAAAGCTTCTAAAGCTACTGGCTTCACCATGGAACATTTGGCCAGGAAACTCTAAGCTGCAGAATTCTGGATGAAACCAATTCCACCGAAGAAAAGTTGAACGGACAAGAGGCCAAGTTCATCCAATCTACCTGAGATCCAGGGTTGACTGAGCTGCCATATTCATCGACCTGTTCAAGAACAACGCTTCTCAGATACAATAGTTTCCAGAAGACGAAGTGGAAAAAAACGAGAAACTTGACTCCAATTGAATGATATTGAGGGCAAAGAAACTTTGTATAAACCAACCCCCACCTGATTGTCTTTTCTTTACAATTCGACTATGGCAAAACTAGCTCTCATGGTAGGCCCTCCTCTCTCCTGTGCATTCTCACTCACTCCTACTACACTTCCATGCACTAAAATACTGAAAAATACTCTCACCCGTTCTTAGGAAGTAATTCAGCCGCTCCACGTGTGGTTCTTTCTTCCTTCTGGTGTACATAAAAACGCACCAGAGGCTTATCAAAGAAACCATTCCACTGGTCAGATAACATTTCCAAATGCATGTTTTCCTCCAATTAAGACCCCAATAGGAGGTGACAGGAAGTTAGTTTTGACACTAGAAACTCAGATTTTCGTTAGTCAGGATTCAATCAATCTTGAAGAGCTATGCAAACTTAAAACATAATGCCATTCCAACATTTTCCTCAACATGGTTGCAGAAGGAAATTTTAATCAAGATGTATTTGACTCAAAAACTTGAGCGTTTTGGGAGTTATCGCTCAATTTTAAAGTGCATACAAGATTCTCCAGATAAACATGCAAATGTTACATGCGTTTAAGTTACCTTTTCTTGTATGATGATTGGCTATCACTCCAACTCAGATGTCTCTTCAGAATCGGACAAGGGTAACAGGGTGCAGATACCAAGCATATGTCCGTTGAGGCAGACATAGTAGTCGATGCAATCCTCATAAGCACCCAATCTACAGCTGGCACTCTGTGGTATCATTTTAGCCTGTAACATGCTCCATAGCTTGGCCTTACAATAAGGGCACACCTCTGTTGGATGAAGCTCTGCTCCTCTTTTTATCAGCATTTGTCTAACCTTTGACATTGAAAATGACTTAAAAACACCCCGGAAAAAACCAATATCTCCTTCTTCCCCTTGGTCGAGATGTTCACAAGGATCAGATACATATAAAATGTCTGTTCTGCACTGTGGCATCAGAAAACTCTTGCCTGATGTCCTTGAAAATCGGGTTCTATACACAAAATGACCAGGAATTTGAATGTTATTGAAGAGACCACCCTTCTTACATCCCGAGCAGAAAATAAGCAGCTTCCCAAGTGCCCTCCAGTTCCCATCAACACTGTGACTCCCACTAGACTGCAGATCCAGCATCATTTTTGGGGCTCTAGTCCTGCAAAACTCCTTCCATAGCACCCGCTTGGCAAGATCATCAAACCATTTGCATGCACAGGACATAGTAGCAATCAACTTCGGATTCCAGTTCAAATGTTGGAATACTAGGAATATTGCATCCTCACTAAGATGTCCCTTTGTGCACAGGCAGCTCGCCGAATGTACACACCGATATTGCTTCGTGAGAATCATACCTCCACGGGCATCTGGGAATTATTAGTTAATCTGGCACGGGTTGTCCAATGGATTAGATTGCATGAGAAATTGTTAAACAACAAAGCTTCGAACAACAACCCCCACACCAATGTACTAAAGCAGTATACTGCATACATCTTAGAAATCAATACACAGAAGAAGTGTAAGAACAACTATCATGCCTCAAGCAAAGGCTAAGAAAATAAAATCAATGCTAGACTTGAAAAATCAAAGTGATTAATCATGTCCCAACTGACGCACACAAAATCTTGAACTCATAAACACGATCCTGCTCAGTAACATAAAACCCCAAACTCCAGTAGGATTCTTTAATTAGAGAACATTCAGATATCAGATCCATAAGATCCTACGAAATACGTAATACCCACCTAAGTCGAACAAAACCCAAAATAATTGTTCACTCAATTCAAAACAGGCAAGATATCAGGAGAAAAGAAGAAACCCCCCACAAAATCCGAAGTCCGTAGATCGTGTAGAGAATGAAATCAAAACCCCGAAAAGTCTTACCTCAGCGGCAAACAACAAACCCTATCTCTCCATCACGATCATAGCAGCCAAAACCCTAGAAAATCCCCGCTCTGCATGCAGAAAAAAGGGAAGCACAAAATCAGTCAATTTGTTCACATCCCATTCAACCCGAACAAAAACTGAAGAACAAAATGGAAAGGAAAACGGAAATTAACAAGAAAGGACAGGAAAAAAGAAGCCATGGGAAATTTGAAACTCACTCTCGGGGGAATTGGTCAAGCAGAAGAATGAAGTGTTGTCGCAGACGCGAAGATGGGTAAGAGAGGGAGAAGACGGGCTTTTGCCTTTGGGGTCTTAAAATATGGACGAAGGACAATCAATAGCGAGGAATATCTAGAACCACTCTGCTAAGTCAATTCCAAAAATCAACGACCAATAAGAAACGTCCACGTAGCCTGAAATGCCACGAGAATGTGAATTTCTGTCCCTGTCTTACGTGTCATTCCTGTAATTGGTTGGTCAACTTTCCGAAAACGACAACCGTTATGCTCATTGTGTGATTTTTTTTTTACTTTTCTGGTAAATGGAAGGTCTTGGTTGGAACTTGAATCATATTTGTCCAAAGACTCAAAAAAATAGTAATGAAAAGATTCCGTAGTAAAAATTATAATTATAATTATAATTATAATTGTATAATTTTGGATGAATGACTTGTAAATTAATTACACATCAACCTAGATAAAATGGAAGTGAGGTGACAGCTTTGAAGATAATATCAAAGAGCATTACTTACAAAAATAAGAAGTATCAAATGCTGGTGTGGTGCCTACCAAATACATTCTAATACTTAACTTGGTAAATCAAGTTCGGCATAGTTTTAGTATAGTTAAGACAGCTTACATCTATTTGTTATTCATCTTCATGAATATCTAGATAGAAGAAAAGATTGTCATTGAGGATACACTAGTCGATCAATTAACAATAATAGACTCTTTGATTTCTTTGATTTTTATCTTAGATTTCCATCAATAGTCTATAAGAGTGGTGGGAGGAATGTATCTGTGAAACTTTCTAGGTGGGAGACTCTTGAATAATGAGTTTTTACTATAGATTTAACAGCTCAAACTTGTAGAATTAGGCAAAGTAGCATGAGAAATGCTACATCAAAAGGAACATTATTTTTATATTTATGCTTTGTAGTTTAATTGCTCTTAGGCCAAAAGACGGGGTGAAATGACAATTCTTGAGCATGTATTCCCATTATAATCCTTGGAACATGATTTCTACTTTAAGATTCTAAATATTGCACATGAATTGCAATGTGTGATATAATTAATATTTTATTATCTTTTCTAAAAAAATTAACGTTGATACATGTTTCTTGAAGAGACAACCACAAATGCACGTCTAGATGGTCGTTTTAAGAGACAAGTCATATCTTGATTTTTTTAAAAAAAATCAAACGCGACGCCAACAGAGTGTCACGTCTTACAGTCATTTCTTGAAGAAACTATCAAATGCTAAAAATGGTGTGGGAGATGACCAAGTGAATGAACAATTTGAGAAGTGTAGAGCAAAGTTTGTTTGTTCTCTTAAATTGTTCGAGCTTTGTTCTCAATAAATTTTTATGTAATTTGATAAGTGTAATTCTGAGAGTTATTTTTATGTGTGAGAACTCTATCATATATTTGGAGAAGACGCATCCACTATTGAAAATAATTAAAGCGGYAATCTACTACATTAGGGAACTTTGTGTTTGAAACAATTCAATTGAAGGAAGAGTCATCAAGTATCGCAACATGATTTAATAAATGAGTTCTTTTATAAAGTCAACATTTTTTTAAATCCAACAATACTTGAGGATAAAGATTCAAACTCACGACATTTTGGTTGGATACGCGTACTTTAACATGACATGCATAAGTTAATATTGATGGTAAATTGTACTAACTTTTCAACATTAATCTTATTCTCTAGTCAGAAAACTCAACCATTTTCGTGTCCAAAACTTTAGCACTTGGATCTTTCACCAAGCATGACACACCTATGGCATAGGTGGCGTGTTGGGTCTGTGTTACCATATGATTCGTCCACAAAATCAGTTAAAGTCGGTGTGKACCGCATCAACGAAATTATCAGTTTTCTTTTAAATACTTTAAAAAACTACTCCATTTTTTGTAAATACCTTCGAAAGTAGCCTGTTTTTTTAAACATGCCACTACAATATAAGTTTAAATCTCTTTTTTTTTTTAACCTTTAAATTTTCTGATGAACTTTTAATTTGTCCTGAAAAATCGAACTCACAACTTCTTRATTGGAAATATATAACGATAATAATATATATATATATATCAATTATCACTAAACGAAGATCGCATTTAAACATTAAAGGTTAATGTCATATTATTTATATACACACACTGGGACTTCAAACTTATAATGTTTAGTCGCATATATTGTGATTTTCAAGAAGGTTACCAATGTACTGATTGATTGTACAGTACTCAAATAACTATGTACATTATATTACTTAATGTCTATTATTAATACCACTAATGAAAGAGTTAGTCATGAGAAGCAATCCAAAACTAAAACAATGCAGGGAGACCAAATTTCAATGAAACAATCAAAAGAGAGAATTTATAATATTCTATCAACGTTAATTTTTTATTTTGTTAATCACTACACTATGATGAAGATTTCTTTTAAAAGACGAATGTTAAATATTTAAAAAAAAAAACCACAAGTATTTGAAAATATGATAATTATAAGACTATTATAGACAAAAACAAAAACAAGTTTTAGTTTAGATTTTGTAGACATTTTCAAAAAGTAGGGAAAAATAAAGTTGAAAATGATGTCTATAAACTTAATTTCGAAATATTAATTTCTTGATATTTATAAAACTATTTTTAAAAAAAAAGGTACAAAACAATTATCTTGGTATGGAAAATTTGATAAAAACTTAGCCCTAACTCTAAGTGGTCTATTTTGCATATATACAAAACTCTCATAGAACCTGAGCAGAAGCTTCTCTGCTATCTGCACTTGTGTTGTCTGAAGCTTTGTTCTCTACTCTTCTGAAAACAAGTTTCTGCTGAGGAAGTTGGCCATTAGAGAATGCTGATACCTCTGTGTCTATTAGAATTGTGTCTTCATCCTTGAACTCTCCTCTCAATATGCCCTTGGCAATTTCGTTCTCCACGTTCTGCTGGATCACACGCTTCACTGGCCTAGCGCCATAGTTCGGGTCGTACCCGAGACTTCCCAGAAGTTGAATTGCTGCATCGCTCACCTCGATCTTCATCTTCTTGTCTGCAACTCTCTTTTGAACTCGTTGCAGCTGTTTAAGAAAGATCAGAAATGTGGTTAATGCAGGAAGAAATGTATGAGTACGATTACGGTAACGGTCCCGACACCAGCAATGCAGTACAGATTATTAAAGGAAAAGAAAAAAAAAAGTGTTGTCAGCATGGAGTACCTGTAATCGGACGATACTGCTGATTTGATCGCGATCCAGAGGCTGGAAAACAATGTATTCGTCGACCCTATTCATGAACTCGGGCCGGAAGATTGATCTTGCAGCTTCCAGAACCCGTCGCTTTATGGATTCATATGCCATTTCCTTAGACAACGCATCATCATCTGAATTGAGAATATACTGTGAACCCACATTTGAGGTCATGATGATAACCGTGTTAGTAAAGCTCACAGTCCG